CCTCTACATTCAGAACACGGAATGTCTGGCTCTTTCATGTTTCACTATGTTTTACTCCATTAGAGGCATATTTGAGACTGCTGCACAAATTACCAAAAAATGTACACTTCCTGAGTAAAGAAAAATCACAATTTTCAGTAGTGATTCTTTTATCCTACTGTACATTTATATTCTTGACCTCAACGTACTTGTTTCCTTAAACTTCAAATGCAGGCATAAAAACAACTGTTTCACACTCTGCTAAACCATCTAGCAATTGCCTCCCAAAGTCAGCTTCAAAGCCATAATTATCTCATCTCATTCTCTCCTGATGCTTGAACTAAATAAATCATCTTTAGCCTAATCTTTATAGGTAACTCCTTACCAATGCAATTATATAAATACAAAATGATCAAAAATTGCACACTTTTTGTTAGTTTTTTTTAAATAACAAGGAATATAAAAGTGACAATTCTACTGTATTCAATACAAGAATGAATGTGTTAAATTGACAACTGCCCAAATGATGCTCAGGATGGTCACTGCATAAACAAATGTGTTTCCCAAGTGATTCTCCGGGATAACTGCTAGTTGGCCAACTGATAAAAGGACAACTACTGATGTGCAATTATGAGTATTAAAAAATGTTGATGTGGGGCTGGGGATTTAGCTCAGCGGCACAAGTGCCTGCCTTGCAAGCAGGCAGTCATTAGTTCAATCCCTGGTACTGATAAAAATGAAAAAGACCAAAAAAAAAATGTTGATGCTTGGGAAGAAAGGGAGGAGATCTAAAGCATTAAGCAACATCTGCAGAACTTGAAGATATATTTTGAGACAAGGTCACTCTAATTGTGTAGGTTAGACTCAACTTCCTCTTCCACTAATTTAAGCCCACTGAGGTGCTAGAATTACAAGCATGCATCAACAGGACCAGCAAGATTTACTTCCATGGTAAAATGAGAAAGTGCATGTACTCAGGATATATGTCTCATAGATTCAGTATTCTATTATTAGCTGTAATACAAACTCCAAATATTCCGATTGATGGTAAGCAGAAATATGCTGCAGGAGATCTGACCACATGATGTAGTGCATAGAGGCTGACAATGTACTTCACAGTGTCTTTTACTTTGTGAAGTATATCAAGTTCTTCAGGTTCAAAATAGATATAGTTTTAGTGGTGATTACATAAGAGGTGAGTAATTTATTTTCTCAGGGATAATCCAGACTTGGGCAAGCTATCTTCACTGGATTAGAGTTATTTAATGCAATGTTCACTTGTGTTTTCATAACACCACAGTTTTTAACAACATAATTCCTAAGCAGATTTTGTATTCAACAACATGGCATTAAACATGTTGCAAATTACATGAATGTTAAAATGAGTGTGAAAACCACAGGCCACAGGAAACCAACTGGGACTCATGGCCCAGTGTATGTGTTTAAAGATAATCAGTACACACCACAAACATGATGCACTGGTCCTTATAAATAAAGTGATATGCCATTGTATAAATTCACAATTCAGTACAACAGAACACAATCTGAAACGTAATTTCGCAAATTTACTTTTTACTGTGTTCACTGCTCAAAATTTAGGTTTCCCTTCATGCCATTACTTCAGTATTTTAGGAAAAAACAGTAATAATTACAAAATATATAATGCATTCACAGCATCAAGGTATAAAATAAAGGCATTTGCGTGATACATCCAATAACAACATTTTCCCCAAAACAACTCCACATTTAAGAAAAATTGATTTCAAAGTATGGTTACTCATAAATCATGGCAAATTTTATAATTTCTGGAGATATTGATATATATATTGTGATGTGCTATTGGAGACAACTTATGATTCTGTCAGTATGGCACAATCAGAAATTCACAGTAGTATGGTTTATATTTGGTACATGTGGGGAAACCTTACTAGCAAATACAGAGGTAATATAAACATAACAAGTAAAATTCTGATGGTTAGAAAAACAAAGGTTTACTTAAATGACCAATATTGGCTCCACTGAGAAACAAAATCAGGCAACATAGTTTACATGGTATGATATCCAGTGATGTTAGGAAATCAGCAGATGTCTTGTCACAACTTGGAAAACATAACATTCATTAATGTACAAGTTACGTGAAAAGAACACAACTTTGTCAAAAACACATACTCCAAGCATCTACAAATGTATATCTTAATTCCAAATATTGCCTCAACTTCAGAAACATCATTTATGAAAGAGAAAATGAAGCATGTGCATAAAATATTAAAACAACACCATGTTAAAATTACAATTCCCAAAAAAATAAGAGACTAGACTAATATCACTCTGAACAGTGAATAATAGTATTGCTCAATTTCATATCATAATGCTACAGAATTAGCATTGGGTTTCTTAGTGTCAATTCTTCAGAGTATCTGTTCATTACATTATGCATTATATTATTTGTTTAAAAAATAGGTTAGAAATTCTTCCGATGTGTGAATCTCTATGTGTATATCTATCCTTTCTGTGTTATGGCGGAAAACAGATCAAAATAGGACAACAAAACAAGTTCCTAGAAAATCATGATATGAAAGAGACATATAAGACCACAATATTACTTGATATACAGTACTTACTATGCTTTCTCTTGTTATTTTCAATAGAATTGTCCACCTCATCAGGGACTATACAATTAAGCATAACATTATATAGCTATTTTTATAAAAACACAAATTTGAAGACGTTTTAGGATGTGAAAGCAGTTAATAATCAAACCTGATGTAGAACCTGTGGTTTGCTGCCAGGACCAGCAAGTCAGGCCAAGGCACGGAATTTTATCCCAGTCTGAAGGAACTGCCTTCCTCAACTGGGGACCAGCCCGTGGTTGCCCACTGGGAAAAGTGATTTGGGACCAGCGAGTCAGAACCAGGGAGTCGGGCCAAGGCACAGAATCCTTTCCCAGTTTGGGGTAACTCTCTCCCTCACCTGGGGACCAGCCCACAGATTCCTGCTGGGACCAGCAAGTGGGGCCAAGGAACAGATTCCAATTCCAGTCTGGGGGAACTCCCTACATTGCCACCAAGTTCGGCCGAGGCATGGAATCCCGTCCCAATCTAGTGAACTCACTCCCTCACTTGGAACAACACTTGAAGCTTGAAAATACAGCAAAATGACAAAATGAAAGACCAAAATGCAATCTCAAACATTCATCCCATCCCCAAGAAGCCTAGGAACCATGTGCATAGAAGAAAACACATTCCACTGAAATCCCTGAAATAATAGTAACTGAAATAAAGAAGCAACTTTGGGAAGCATTAAAGAAATTCAAACTAGAAATAATCTTGTAGGTAAAAAAAAAAAGAAATGAAGGAGATTCTGAACATATCTAAAGAAGACACCGTTAAAAAATTGGAGGAACTAAACAAAAAGATAGAATCCCTGGATGAACTCTATAAGAAACAAACAGAATACATAAAGCAGATGCAAAGTGATATACAGGAAATAAAAAACTCCATTGAAAGTTGTAAAAACTGCTTCAATGAATGTGAAGATAGAATCTCAGACCTTGAAGACAAGATTGCAGCCAGTGAACAGGATAGGAAAGATCTTTTAAAAATAACAAGAAATCAGGAAATAATTATTCAACACCTGCAATATGACGCAAAGCAGAACAATATAAGGTTGATAGGGATAAATGAAAAAGAAGGGGACATCGTAAAGGATGTCAAGAGGATATTTAGAGAATTTATAGCTGAAAAGTTCCCTAACACAAGATTGGAAACTGATATCAAGGTCAATGAAGCATATAGAAATCCAAATAGCCATAACCAAAATAAATCTACACCCAGACATATAATAATGACCATCCCAGAAACTGAGCAAAAGAATAGAATATTAAAAGCTGTCAGAGAGAATAGACAGATCACCTATAAAGGAAAATGTATCAGAATCACAGCAGACTTCTCAGCACAAACAATAAAGTCAAGAAGAGCAGGCAGTGAAGTATTTCAGATCCTAAAGGAAAATGATTTCCAACCTAGACTGATGTACCCTGCAAAACTGTCCTTCAAAATCAATGGAGAAATAAGATACTTCTATGACAAAGAAAAGCTGAAAAACTTCATGATCACCAAGCCAAGCCCATAAAGAGTACTGAAAGACAGCCTAGATACATAGATAGAGATAATATAGAAATTGTTGTTCATTTTCTGTTAACTGGCTCTAAATACCCTGTAATTCTATCATTTTCTTGAATGGCTTCACACTGTCTTGATATGATTGATTCTATAGTATACGAAATGATACTCAAACAATTCAAGCAAAGAGGCACTATGGTGACTAATATTATGTTAGATTATCTGGTGGTGAATAAAAAGATGCTTTAATTGTTCAGTTCTGACCTGTGTTGTTCTATTACAATGTCTTTTATCTTGATCTCCATGCTTTTTAAAAAAAATTCTATTTTTTCTTATTTTTTTTTCACTTAAAGGAAAACTAAATTAAAAAGTAGCGGGATATATTATAGTAATTTTTGTTTTCCTATTAACCTCCCCATCTTGTTCTGCCGGATTTTACTATATTCTATTTTTGTTTGATAGTATCAAGTTTGAGGGTATAGGCAACCATTCTGTAGGCAATAAAATTTACTATGATGCCCATTATGGTTTGACTATTATCTTCTTTTGAAATCCTGTAAGGCCTTCAGTGTAGATTTTATTGTTCTTGTTCTGTACTGTTTTGATCAATTGTATTATACCTGATTATATAGCAACTCTTTTTAAAAATAGCAAGAGGCACAATGTAACCATTTTTGATCACCTGATATTCTATTTTTGCATCAAGTACAATGCCCATCCTTATGTTCTAACCAACTCTGTTTTGTTAACTCACTTGAGGTTTTATTCTCTTCAAAAAGAGTAATAAGAACTATGGGAGTAAAAAAAAAAAAACCCCAAAAGTGTAATTGTTATTGTGAAGAAGAGAGGAAAGTAAGGTGGTCTAAGAGATATAAGTGCCTGTTTGAGTGTGTAGGGAGGAAAACCATATTACTGAGCTTTGTTGCATCATTGAACGGAACTGTCTGCAATCTCGCTGTAGGAATGTTCACTTTATACGCTTTAATTTTATAATTTGGACAACTGTTTCTAAGAAGACAATATGTATCCTATTAACTAGTGATTTCTTACTGTATTTTTTTCTTGAAATTCTGTATGATTTGTACCCTTTCCTGCTTTGTTTTTTTATGTTCTTTTTTCTCTTTAAATAAAAAAATTAAACCTGGAATTTATATCTTGTATTTATTTTTTGGTACTGGGGATCAAACTGATGACCTCACACTTGCCAGGCAGGTGCTTAAGCCACTAAGCTAAATCCCCAGCCCCGCAATATATATCTTTTACATCTTATCATCTTCAGACTAGTGGCCTCTACTCTTGGACTTGATACCAGCAAGCATACCAAATGTGAATAAAATCAGTCAAGGCCAAATAACATTCAAACAAACCAGCTTAAAATAAGTTCAGTCATAGTAAGACAATGTTAGTAATACAGGGTTTCAGTTTTAGTTAATAGGAAATTAAGGACAATTACCATCATGGTATAACCTGCCATTTTTGGGTTATCTCTCTGTGCCCGCAAATCTAATATGAGTAGACAGACCAGAACAAAATATAATCAAACTAAACAGAGCAACAGAACTACTGTAGCTTTTAAATCCTGATACACTTTTAACAATGTGCTCTGCCTTCTTTTTTTAGGCAGTTCCTCACCTTTCTCCTTCTCAGGATTCTATTATTCACTGTTCAGAGTGATATTAGTTTAGTCTCTTATGTTCAATTTCAGCATACATAAAAATAAAGATGTCTACTACGAAAAGAATGAGACACATTATGGTAATCATTATCAACTTCCCCAAAATCAGTCTTGAAGATCAAAAAAGCCTGCATCATCCTGTAATTATTTGATTAGCTCCATAATGTTCAGTATATATGCAATGCTTGTGAAGCTGCGAACAACTATTTTGAACAAAACTAGAGACAGTAAGATAGAAAATGAACATCTCAGTGGACTTGCTTTGAAACCTGTGTTTCCTTAACTTGTTTCCTTATGAACTGTTCTGTTCTGTTTTGTCATGTTTAATCTTATCGTCTTTAAGATAAAAAACAAGTTTGTAGAACAGATAAGCATATTAATAAGTTTTTGTTGGATCACTGAGGTGAACTGTTTGCAATGTCATTATTTGAATATCACTTTGTATGCTTTAATTTTGTAACTTGAACAATTACTTCTAAGATGACAATATGTAACTAATCAACTCGTGATTTCTTATTGTTTATTTTTCAGACTTCTGTATTATTTCTACACTTTTTGATTTTTTTCTTTAAATAAAAATAATTCACCAAAAATATAAAAATTAAGGTTTAAAGACAAAATATTAAGTACATAGACACTATCCATACTTGAAAGTGAAAAGCCCATTTTAGTTTACCATGTTTAATTACAAGATGCCATGTTGAAGCACAAAGATACTTTAAAAAATCTAAAGAGGTATAACTGATTAACTGAAAACCATACAAAATATGTACTTGAGTAGAGCTCCACTTCAGATTTGTCATTTCTGGAAAATTTGTGAAGAAATATTGACATCAAACTTCTGTATTGATTATTTCTTCAGGTCTACTTGGACTTTTTAAAGTAAACTTAGATTTAAACTGTCGGAAGAGTGCTGATTTTTCTATATATTTAACAACAAACATGGATTGCCATATTTCTCACATTGTTCATGCACATAGGATCCAGTGAGTTCTTTCAGATATGTAACAATGATCATGTGTGCTGAGAATATTCCCATAACACATAGGATTTATCTCTTGTGTGAGCTTCTTCACGTATTTCACTTATAATCTGGCTGATGAAAGTGTCTCCACTTGCTTACGTAGCCAGTGGTTCTTCCCAGTGTGAATTCTTTCATTTGTTTTGCAATGACTGTATGTGGTAAAAACTTTGCCACATTGTTATATACATAGTGGAGTCATTGATGTATTTTACAAAACCCATGTGTGGTGAAATCTTTCCCACATTCTTCACATAAACAGGGTTTCTCAACATTTTAAATTTTTTCATGTATTGGACAATGAGCATTTCTGCTGAAACCTTTCCCACATTCCTTACATATATAAGTTTTCTGCCCAGGGTGAAATTTTTCATGCATTATGCAATATGTACTTTTGCTCAAAAAATTCTCATGATGCTTGTATACACTAGTTCTACCTTGAGTGTGAACTTTCATGTTGCTTACAATGTCCAGGTTGGGTAAAAGCTTTCCCACATTGCTTACATACATAGGGTTTCTCTCCAGTGTGAATTCTTTCATGTATTTTACAATTTGCCCATGTGTTAAAGGCTTTCCCACATTGCTTACATACATATGGTTTCTCTCCAGTGTGAATTCTTTCATGAACCTTACAATATGCACGTGTGTTAAAAGCTTTCCCACATTGCTCACATACATATGGTTTCTCTCCAGTGTGAATTCTTTCATGTTGCTTACAATTTCCATGTCGGGTAAAACCTTTCCCACATTCCTTACATACATAGGGTTTCTCTCCAGTGTGAATTCTTTCATGTTTCTTTAAAATTCCCCATGTGTTAAAAGCTTTCCCACATTGCTTACATATATATGGTTTCTCTCCATTGTGAATTCTTTCATGTTGCTTACAAAGTCCATGTCGGGTAAAAGCTTTCCCACATTGCTTACATACATATGGTTTCTCGCCAGTGTGAATTCTTTCATGTTGCTTACAAGCTCCATGTTGGGTAAAACCTCTCCCACATTGCTTACATACATATGGTTTCTCTCCAGTGTGAATTCTTTCATGTATTTTACAGTTTGCCCGTGTGTTAAAAGCTTTCCCACATTGCTTACATACATAGGGTTTCTCTCCAGTGTGAATTCTTTCATGTATTTTACAATTTGCCCGTGTGTTAAAAGCTTTCCCACATTTCTTACATACATATGGTTTCACTCCAGTGTGAATTATTTCATGTTGCTTACAGTATCCAGATTTGGTGAACCCTTTTCCACACTGCTGACATACATAGGATTTCTCTCCACTGCAATATTTTTCATGGATCTGAACATTGTGGTGTGTTTCTGCTTCTTTCACATTCACATTACCTTCTGCAGTACAAGGGAATACTTCTTTACACTGATTCCAAGATGTATGTCCATAGGATTTCCCTAGCTTGTCATTTCTGTAAAAAAAAAAAAAATCACATATTGGATTGATAACCATATTACTAAGTTTTTATTGAAGATTTGAACAAAATTGTTTGCAGTCTCGCTGTTTGAATCCCCACATCATAGGTTTCACTTTTGTATTTCATTAACTATTTCTATGAGCAGCATATGTAATCAGTGTCTTTAGATTTCTTACTGTTTATTTTCACTTTGAAAGTGGTATCATTTCTACTTATTTTGTTTTTTTTTAGTCTTTCCTTACATTAAACAAAAAAAAAAGAAACATTCACAGTGAAATGGGTCTCAGTTTAATGACTGCATTAATGTCAAGTTCTGTTTTTAATGCCTGCTAAGAAACTCTGACCATGAAGTAACAGATGGCCTTGTAAGACATGTTGAAAACAACCATTCCCAAAAGACTGGTACACACTTGGAAATCTTAAAATTTGGTACCTTTTGAAATGCAGAATCTTTAGCTTCACTTTGGGTATGGGTACATCTGTGTATCATATACAGATCACTATGATATGTTTCCCCATCACAATCTCCCTTCTGTCCTTAACCTGTAGTTCCCTTTTCCATATAATCAGTCTTACTTTTCTCTATTAACTATTTCATTTCATTCCACAATTTATATTTTGGTTTCTCATCTAAGAGAAACCCTGTGAACTTTTAGGTTTTATAGCTGAGCTATTTCACCGAATTGATGTGAGAAAGAACCACCTATTTCTTATGGCAAATAACATTATATTCTTTATTTTTTTGACATTATATAACACATCTTTTTCTTTTCCATGCTTGGAATGAACAACAGCTATTAGCGTAAAATCTATAGCTTTTTAAATCTGTTTTAAGAGATTTTCACTGATCATTAAACTTTGAAGTTTGAACTTGAATTTGCAATTCTGCAAAATCTGATTCCTAGTGTGCTGGATTTACAAGAATGCACAATCACAAAGAGTGTATTAACGTTTTCCTTCTCCACAAATCCAGTAATAGATAGCTAAGCTTCTTCAAGGCCTGATCTATTATAACTTGATCTGCTTTGTATGAGTAAGCATGTATCAGTATTTTATGTGCATTTTGAATTTTTAAAAATATATCCAGGACAAGTATTAGGGCATCAATTTCTAGAGATAACTGCAGACTGATATTCAGAATGAGTGCACTTAACATTCTACCAGCCTTCTAAGAATTTTAGTCAGAATGGCTGATTCTTTAGAGCATGGTTTGAAAACACAAGAACTCCATTTTATTTCAAGTTCTATTGCAATCTAAGCAACTTTTAGATGATGAATGTGTTGTATTCACATGTATATATGGGTAGAAAAACTGAAGAGAGAATGTCATAACTCAAAGTGTATGCCTTTCATACACATCTATATGAAATGTCATAAATTTTCTTGATTTAATCCACTCATTATACATACCCTAGCTTATACGTCTTCGGAGAATATTACTGACAATAAATTGAATGGTGCCTCATTTCTTTGGTGGTATTTTTCTGCTGACTCACTAATTACTTAGGAACATTCCTTCTCCTTATGAGTGTGAATTACCTTAAGTACCTCCAGTAAATTTTGCATTCTTTTTCAGCTTCCTGGATATCCCCAAGTCCTCCTGAATTGTAGACATAGAAATACACGTGCTCATTAGAATAATACATACAAATTAATAGATTTTGTTTAGAGTTATGATATAATGTATCCAGGTCTGAGCTATTTTTAAAAATATTTTCACATTGTTTTTAATGAAACAGCGACATACAACATTCTGACAGCATGAGTAACAAAAATATTTCATCCTTACCTATCACAGTCATGTTCCTAAAGGTTTCGCCCATCACATCTCTGTAGAGGTTCTTTTGGGATGGACTCAGCAAAGTCCACTCCTCATTGCTGAAGTTCACAACCACATCCTCAAAGGTCACCACGTCCTAAAGGATCATACATAGATTTTTCACATGAAGGTTGAGACACCAGGTTTGGGATACCTTAAATTCTCTCCTACAAATCTGAATCAAAAGCAAAATGTGGTGGTATATATCTATAATGCCAGCACTCAAAAGGCTGAGGCAGGATGGTTTCAGTGAGTTCAGGTCAATTCTAGGCCCTGAACTCAAAAGGCTGAGGCAAGATGGTTTCAGTGAATTCAGGGCAATTCTAGGGTGTTCAAATCTAGCTGATATACATATAGAAAGCTTGTCTCAATAAAACAAAACTAAACTAAACAAATACAACCAAACAAAACAGCTGAATGAAGACTGATTTCTTCAAATTTAAATCCATGTCTTGGTCATTAATTTTGTGTATATACACATTTTTGAAGACAGCAAATTTGATGATAGATTGCAACCCACTGCTAATGTAACAGTGAAATAGGAGCACTAATTCTTGTGCTGAGTCACTGCAAAATTCCCTGTGTACTGTCTCTAATGCAGAGCTCACAGTGAGAAGCCTGCAGGACCAGCATCCATAAAGCACAGAGGTAGATAAATATTCCATGAATCAACTGGGAACCCAAGCAAGCACCTCCCTTCCCTGGTAAGTGGTGGCAGTGTGGCAGACTGTGGCCCATCAAGGGGGCAAACCAGCAGCAGCTCCTGAGATCCATGCCATGCTGGAATTTAGGACACTTGGAAGGCAAGCAATCACCACTTCTCCCTGGTAAGTGGTGGAGGTCTGGCAGAATGCGGCCCTTCCAGTGGGAGAACTAGCAGCAGCTCCTGAGATCCGCGCCTTGTGGGAACTTAGGACGCTGTGAAACCAAACAACAGGCCTGTCTCCCTACTAAGCAATAGTGAACCTACTGATGCACGGCCTAGAATCAAACATCCCACTTCCCTACCCCTCTTCTCCTGTCACACACACCCCCCGTTAGCAAATGGGAACCAGAAATCTGAGCGAATCCTGGGAAGCAGATGATAACAAATAAGGGGGACTTCCTTCTACTGTCTCTTTGAAGGCAAATATTTTTATTACTGTTTTGCTCTTTTCTGATTAATGGTATTGCTCTATTCAATATTCTGTTTTGGTAAGTACTATAATGTTCTGTATTTCATCTCATTTTGATATACGTGTTTGAAAGAACAACTATTGGAGCTGGGGATTTAGCTCAGTGGCATAAGCACCTGCCTTGCAAGCAGACAGTCGTGGGCTCGATCCCCGGTACTGATAAAAAGGAAAAAGACAAAAAAAAAAAGAACAACTATTATAAAGATAATAAAATATACTGTGATACCTATTACTGTTATTGCAGTAACCAGTTGTGAAGTTGTGTACCAGTTTCACTGTATGATCTTAGTTGGCCTTATTCTGCCTTGTTCTGTTGTATTTTACCACTTTCAAAATTTAAAAAAAACCTCATCAATCACTTTAATAGGCTGCAGATAATGTCTCTTCAAATCTCATTTAGGCCAGTGAGTACTTTGTTCTTAATATACTTCAGCAGCACTTTGAAACATGAATTTGCTTTCATAGAACAAAACATAAATAACATCCAATAACTCAAACGTTAGTGGAAAATGCTGTTTTTAAAAAATAAGTATATAAAATGGAACCAGGCCCAAGCTGTAATTTATAGCTCACTGTCACCAAGCATTCACTTTCAATTCAGATATAAGGAATATATCTTGTGAGGCTGGTGAAGGACTTCTTCCTTGAATTTGGGGCTATCCTAAGTTACAGAGCTGTCTAAAATAGAGAAACCCTGACTGTGACACCCCAAAGACAAAGTGAAACTTGAAAAGAGACTGCATAAGACACCTTTGGTTTGTTTTTTAAAATTATAGCCATATAATATGGAAAAATTCCAAAAATATTCAACACTTTCTGGGAAACAATGTGGATATCTTCCATTTCAACAAAGAAAACACTTTCATAGTTGGCTATTTAGCTCAGTGGCATGAATGCCTCCCTGGAAAGCATAGGTCATGTGCTCAATCCTTGGTACAAAAAAATCCACATTTTACCTTCATGACACTGGGGCATAATTAGAGATAATCCAAATTAGATCTCAAGTATGGAACAGAAAATTCATGGGTTGGCAAGGATGTGAAATACTGATTGTTGCCAGAGCTGGTGTTGATCACCTCAAGGAAGCAATCAGAACCCAACTTTAACTTCACACTTACTCTACGAACTACCTGAATTTCAGTGAAGACCCTCTCTGTTGTATGTCCTGCTATTGGCTTCCTGCACTCTGTCAGTCACTTGCACATCCTTTCCACACTCCTCTGTTCCATCCTCAGCAGGAACCCCTTCATGCCTAACTATTGATACCACTGCAAAATTTCTGTTTATTGCTTCTTCTTTACACCACTCAGTAAATTCCATTGCAGAGCATTTTCATATTTAAACTATGAACAACCAAGCCACTAAATCAGCTCTTAATTCAGAGATGACACACCTTTTTCTTTCCATTCAGAAGGAAATCACGTGTATATGTCCATGCAAATGCCTAAATTTCAGCATTTTTGATGAGAATTTAACAGGTAGCCCTTTCTGGAATTTGTACTTCACAAATTTTTACCCCGTCCTTGATAACACTTTCATATTTGCTTCATTTTTCTCAGACTTCAAAACTCTATGGCTGTTCTTACAAACCTAGTCTGTGAGCAAGGGTGCCACCTAAATAATTAAGTATGTTCAGAAATTATTTTGCACTGATCTGTATAACACACAGGAGTTCATGACTTGTTTGGGAAGCATTTTTCCACTGAGGCACACTACTACACATCTCTGCATTCTCAGGAACTTTGCCACTATCTGTCATGAGGATGGAAATATGAGAACATAGTATAAATTGAGGAGATCACTATAAATACAAAAAAACCCAAGTTTAAGTTGAGCCATTGTGGCTATGAGGCCCTGCATTACAGACATTAATAAACTCCGGACACTCTAGATCTGCTACTCTGAGGAAAGGGAGCAGAGATCTAGCTCACTACTGCTCTACAAGCTACAAAAAGCATCATAATCAGGGTCTTCCCAAGCTCCTTCCAGTACCTAAGATGGTGGAGTTACCAGGCTAGCAATGAATTTCAAAGATGATACTTGAGTCTACTGCTGTCATAGTGAAGCCAGGGTACTGGGGACCCCAAATCACCCTTGCCAACAGCAAGAGACAAAAGGGACAGTGAATGACCCATGGTCAATGCTGGAGGACCTCAGGAGCTGAAGCTAACTAAATACCTGTGGCTCCAGACACCTGAACTACTCCTAAACACTTGTAACTTGTTTCACCCATTCCACCCTACTTCTGGGCTCCCATCCACAAACTCACTATTCCATGGTTCTAGGATCTCTCAGGATCTTTGCTAATCAGGCCACAGGACATCAAAGTACTAAATGAGATCCAGCAAGCATTTTGGTACCAGCATTATACTCAGAACAGATAAATCATCCTGAGACACTGGAAGAGACCGAAGTCACAGCCAGCAATGGCCCACCTGATTGGACAGTTCATATAGCCTGCCCCTTCATCACTGATTGACTCCTGCTCTACTGCCTTCCTTCTGAGTCAACAATATACAGGGAAAGGAACCCCTTCCTGCAAGAGAGGATCCCAAATGATAGACTGTAGTGCAGAGACTTCTGGAGCTGCCATTCTTCTACAGTGGTGAACTGAGCTAGACAGAGGAGTGTTTGTACTGAAGAGCGTTAGCTCAGGCTTTTAATTTTCAAATCCATTTTATTTCATTGAAAAAAGAGCACATCAACTAAAATTGAATTTCAATATATGTCAATCAGAGGGCAACACTGGTATATACATTGCACATTGTCATCCCCATATCATTCACCCAGAGCACAAGACATCTCTAATCAATTTTCAAAAAAGTACTGTTACAGGCACCTGAGTTACTTAAATACTCTTCACATGGACCAAGTCTAGGTCCTCCAAGGAGCTAATGCAGGAAACCAGATACCTTGCAACTATGGGGAAGACTGACACCTCATGCTATGGGCCAAGGCTCAAGACAATGATAAACAAATTCATCCATATTCTAAGGATAGATATTCTAAATAGTTCCCTAGCACTCTGAGGAAGTTAGGAGTCACCATTCAAAGAAATGTATCCTTATCCTAAAGACTGACATTCTAAATAGTTCCTGTCATACTGAGGAACTCAGAAGTCACCCTCCCAAACCCCTAAAGGAAGAGTCACAGCTGCCTAAGAATGTCCGCTTTCTATGTGACTCCCTTCCCCCTTTGTTCCCAATTTAATCAGCTTTACCTGAACTTAATAATCCTATTGGCTACCATAGCTCTCTCCCATCTTATGCCCATCTGCATTGTGAGTTCCTAGTTTTCCCCACCTTAAACTCATTTCACCACATGATTTTACTCTATAAAGGTCCCTAGAAAGGACAGTGTTTAGCAACCTGCTCAGGACCCCTTATCACTCTCAGGCAGCTTTCTTTCTCTCAATAAGTACATTCTGTATTTTGATTTCTTCATTCCAATCAAAGGATGTACTTCAAAGTGTTTTACCCTAGAAACAATTACAAGACCTCATGGTGGTAGTTCAAAGTGGAAGAATGTGAAATCAGGGATGCTTACTCATATGGCCACTTCCTCTATTCTCCTTAATTACAACTTCCTCTTTCTTCCCCAGGGGCCTAATGAAAATTCCCATCAGCTCTCACATGACATCAATCTCCCCTCAAGCACCACATCCAGTCAAAATTAACATATACCCCATAACCCCAGAGTCAGTTGGAAAAAAAAAAAAGCCAAATCCTTGGGGCCTGTGGGCTCCTCTCCACATTCTTTAAGTAAAAGGCCACTTTTACATTTCTTATATTCTGCTTCTCTACTGTGCTAATTTATCTCCTCAGTAACTTCAGTAATCTAATCCATTTTAAACCTATCTCACTACACAATTTTATTCTATAAAATTCCTAGAAAAGACAGAGTCCTTTGCTACCAGCTCAGA